TTTACATGATTTCTTGGATCTTCAGGTTTGACACCAAATATTTAACATACTAAATAGAGTGAAACATTCCCTCTGATTAATTTCAAACAAGAAATTAAGGACTTTTGATGCTAAGCTTCTCTGAGGCCCTGAAGAATCAGAGTTGAACAGGTTGAAGAAGGCAAGTAGCAAACTGTCAAAAAGTTTTCAAACTGTTGAAGCATAAAGGAGAAAAAATAAGTGCTATTTTAATTAATTAAGCAATTGAATTAATAAATAAATTTAATTTCTGGATTCAAAGAGACCTGATTTCAAATCTGGCCTCAGACACTTGCTACCTAGATGACCCTGGGCAAATCACTTAATGTCTGCCTGACTCAGTTTTTTCAACTGTAAAAACAGGGATAATAGTAGCAACTACCCCCTAGGATTGTTGTGAGTATAAAATGAGATATTATTTCAAAGCACTTTGCAAACCTTAAAGTGCTATATAAATGTCAGCTATCGTTATTAATATTGTTATTCTTATTTTTAAAAAAAACAAGATGGGGTAAGCAGTGATAGAGAACTGTTGAAATTTAATCAGCAAAAGCCTTAATTTTATCTGGATACTTATAGTTCGTTCTACCTCTTTCCACACTGAATAAATGTTTATATAGAGCAGGAAGGAAAAGACAAGTTCAAATCTTGCCTCAGACACTAACTATGTGACCATGGGCAAGTCACTGAACCTCTCTCATCCTCGTTTTGTCATCCCTCAAATGAGAATCAGGCAGCTAGGTGGCGCCATAGTGCATAGAGTGCCAGGCCTGGAGTCCAGAAGATTCATCTTCCTGAGTTCAAATCTGGCCTCAGACACTTCCTAGTTCTGTGCCCCTGGGCCAGTCACTTAACTGTATTTGCCTCAGTTTCCGTGTGTGTAAAATGAGCTATAAAAGGAAATGGCAAACCCCTCCATTATCTTTGCCAAGAAATCCCCAAGTAGGGTCATGAAGAGTCTATCATGATTGGGAAAAAAACAAAAAATGACAAAATGAGAGTGATAACATTGACTCTACCCCTCCCAAGGTTATTTGGAAGAATATAGCTCTGGAGCTGGAAGGGACCCCGAGGCTACCAAGTCCAACCATTTTACAGATGAGGACACTGAAGCACAGAAAAAGTATATGATTCACTCATTGTCACACAGGTAAAACAGATCAAATTCGAATTCAGTTTCTCAGGCTCCAAATCCCATGTTCTTTCTCTATCTTGTGCTTTGCAGACCTTACAGTGACGTGCGAATGTGAATTATTCTCATGCTTATATCCTGAATGTCTCTGAATTCCCCTCTTCCCAAGCAGCTCACCTTGACTGTGGGTATTCTAAAGCAGCCTCATTCTTCTTGATCCCCCCTTTTCTCTCAAAACCAGCCTGTATGGGAAAGACACAAAGCTCCTGCGTCCCTTTCTAGGTCTCATCATTTTCTCAATCCTGTAAGAAGAAAAATTGCCTTTCCTTCTCAGGAACCCAGACCAAAACGACTCTCCATCATAACAGGAGCCAAAAATTCTCCGCAGGAAACCAGTGCTGTGTGCACTCAAAGTCTCTCAGAGGCCGACAGCTGGAAGTGATCCCTCTCTTTTGATCTCATAGCACTTTATCCTCTCCTTGCACGCACTGTCATCCTCAGCGCACAGACTCAGAAGAGCCCCTGTATTTGTGTTCCAATCCATGTTAGATTATAAAAGCCTTGATATCAGCGATTACCTCTTTGTATCCCCATCCCTAATCCAATTCTCTAATTTTATGGGGGAGGAAACTGAGACCCAGGGAGTTTAAGTAACACCCAAGGTCAAGTAATTAGCAAATATTTATTAAGCGCTTACTACGTGCTAGGCACTGTCCCGGATAAGTGTTTATTGACTAATTGATGTCCCGGCATAATTAATAATTGCTTGTTGACTAATTATCTGAGCTTGGGTATCTCTTAACCTCCCTGGGCCTTGCTTTCTTCATCCATAAAATGGGAGAATTGAACTAGACAGCCCCAGAGGCCCTGTTTGTCCTATGCCCTCCTTCTCCTCTCCCTTTACACTCTCTCCACGAGATCAGCTCCCATAGGCTTAACTATTATCTCTATGCCAGTCTTTCCCCTGAGCTTCAGTCCTGAATTACCAGCTGCCTATTAGATATTTCAAACTGCAAGTCCTATAAACATCTTAAACATAACATGTCCAAAACTGAACCTGGTATCTTTCCTCTCTTACAAATTTCCCTATTTCTATCAAAGGTACCACTATCTTTCCAATCTCCCAGGTTCATAACTGCAACCATATCCTCAACTTCTCAATCTCTGTCACCCTACACATCCAATCAATTGCCAAATATTGCTGTTTCTATCTTCATATCTCTTCCCTTTGACCCCTTCTCTCCACTCCTATAGATATCACTTATAGATATATATCATATATATGTATATATATATGATATATATATATATATATGATATCCTTATCACCCCTCACCTAGATTATTTCAACAACTGTCTGTCTGATTAGTCTCTGCCTCAAGCCTCTCCCCATTCCAGTCATTCCCACATATTGCTACCAAAGTAATTTTTCTTCAATGCAGATCTGACCGCATGATTCCTCTTATCAATTTCAGTGGCTTCCTATTGCCCCAGAATCAAATATAAACTCTTCTGCTTAGCTTTTAAAGCCCTACTCACTGTGGCCCCAATTTATCTTTTGAGTCTCATTGGACATTTCTCTTCTTCCCGCACTTGGTGATCCAAACTGGCTTTCTCTCTGTTCCTCACATATTACACTATATCTTCCATCTCTATGTCTTTGTGCTGGCTATATTCCAAGCCTAAAACACACTTTCTCTTTACCTCCATCTCCTAAAATCCCTCTCTTCTTTTAAGAAGCCCCTCAAGCACCATTTTCTGCAGAAGCTTTTCAGACTTCACCTAATTGCTAGTGCCCTCTTTCCCAAAATGCATTGCATTGAACTATTCTGTACATATTTGTATTTAATTCACCTTATATTTAAGCTATGTTTTTATATGAATTTGTCGTCTCCCCCACTGGAATCCTTTGTGAGAAGGGACTGTTTCTTGTACTTGTATCTCCTGGACCTGGGATAGTCCCTAGCTCATAGTAAGTACTAAATAAATATTGATTGAATGATGTACACAAGTAAATGCATGATAATTTGAGGCAGAAACAAGCTTTAATAACTAGGGCTAGATCAGGAATGGCTTCCCATAGAAGCTGGAACTCAAGCTGAAGCTTGGAAGAAGCTAAGGATTATAAGAGGCTGAGTGGGATTGAGACCACTTACCCAAATAAAAACTCAGAGGTTTCTCCAGGTAGAAAACAGAAGGTTTTATTTTAGCAAGTCTCATGTGAGAGTTGGATGTCACCTACCCGGGACGGACTGGAGTAGTGAGGCAAAGCACAATCCGCAGCAAGCAGTTATATACCCTTAGACAAACCACTCCAAGAAACCTGCCTCCCCAACCTGTTTGTCTCAATCTCTTTATCCTCATTGGCTGAGGCAAGAGACTTCACAGTCTATATTTAGAACCCAAGAGATATACTTTACTCAAAACAAGCTTGGTAGCTAGAATATTACCTTATTTGGTAAAGTTAAGGCACAAAACAACAGAGGGGGTTGTTACAAAACAAGGGAGGGGGGTGGGCAGCTGGTGCACAACCAGATTCCCCAAAAACAAAAGTGAAACTTGGGCCCCATTCATGCTGAAGCCTTACTACATTTATGGAGCATAGCTTACATCTCACATGAGAAGCTTTCACTTGTCCCAGAGGTCAAGAGGGAATCTCTTGCAGGCCACGGGAGGTGGGATGATTTCAGGAACCAGCTAGTATGCTCATTTGTCTAGTGTGTAGACTGTGTTGCCAGAGTCAAAGAATTCTCCACTAAGTGGCTATCCTACTGTTGATAAACCTCTCTCTACTTAAATAGGCTGGTCCTCAGGGAGCAGAGATATTCTGTTGCTGTGACAATAGTAGAAGACTTCCCAGCATGGTAGAACTTGTACTCCACTGGCATAACCTTAGAAAACCCAAGGTCAAATTCCATGCTATAAATAGACGTCAGTATAGCACACAGTGACAAGAAAACAAGGAATAGCCAATGGACAGTCTATATTCAATGTCAAGAGAATTCAAGGAAAGTTCTCAGCATTATAGACAATATAGAAGAACATGCATGAGAATTACACAGGATGAACAGGAATGAAGAAATTAATATATGAACAAACAAATGGGAAAACACATTAAATATTTATTATATGTGCTAAGCCCTGGGATAAAAGTAAAAAAAGTTATATGATCCCTGCTTTCAGGGATGTCCTATTTTAATAATTTTAATATTTTGATAGCCAAGACCTACCTAGTTAACTTGGGGTGTATTGGCTAGATTTCTTTCTCAAAGACTAAGCCTTAAACCCAATTCACTCTGGGTGTTATGGATTGGACAACAACAGGTCCCTGCCCAAGCACCATTTAATGGTTACTTTTGGGCCTTTCTGGTTCAGAGTGAATGTAAATAGTAACTGTTTCTCTTTCAGCCAGCATCCCTGAGGGTCTTCCCCTCCTAGGTTGACTTTTTTATTATTAAAGGGGCCATCCCTTGATTCACTTCTTAAAGAGGCCTATTTGCTGAATGGGCATTGCCTCACTCAAAGTGAGAACTAGAAAAGACCTTATCCATATCTGGCCACTGGACCCCGATGACCCTGGAGGGGAAAGAGAGGCTGGTGACTTTGCATAGCCCTCCCTCACTCAAATCAAATTCATTTGCAGGTTATGTCATCATCTCCCTGATGTCATAGTAGTCTTCAAGAATGAAAGATAAACCACAATTTTAACAGGGGGAGAATCCATACAGGAAATTTCAGCTGCAAGTCAGAGGAAAAGACCCAGTGGTCTTTTGGGTGCAGCAATAAATCAAATGGCAATGCATCGTCTTTAATGTTGTTGACTCTGATAAAGCCACCTCCATTTCTGATGTTTAAAATTTAGCAGTGCCAAGGATTTTGGTGTTGAGAAGTTTCTGCTTGCCAGGGCTTCAGTAGGAGTGGTTGCAGCCACTGCAGAGACAGTTACCAGGTCTCATAGCCACAGTGGTTCTTTGGATGATGGCTACAGGGTGGTGTCTGGCCTGGAATTAGTCCAATGATCTGAGTTGGGGTGCCACTATTCCCAAGGATCCTGAGTTTAGCTGATCATTGGTAGCTATTGATTGTACCCCTTCACTTTAAAGGTTGGTCCCTTGGAAGATAGCTTCAGGGGCCAGGCTGAAATCAGGGTTTGGGGGTGGGAGTTTAGGGAAGGGAACTGCTGTCTCAGTCTTCTTGGGCTTATCTGCTCAGTGGTGGCAGTAGGTCAGCATTTGATATTGGTAGTAGCAGGGACAGAGGGCCCCTCTCCACAAGGGATGCTCCTCTGGATAATCAATCATGGATGGGTTGTGATCTTCATTGCTGGAAGGAGTTCCCACATAGATGAGATCACCAATCTGTTGGAGTAAAGAGGGTGAAGAAGAGACATATGAAATCAATCTTTTAGGACAAATCGAACACCTTCATTAATCCTTCCCTTATTCTCCTAGTTAATTACATACTTCTCCCCTAGGACCTCACATGGCCCTTTATTTTGTGGTTCTATAATGAACTTATCATGAAATTGTTTAATATTTTTATTATTGTTTAATATTGTTTAATAAGATTGCATGTGTTGGTGTCTTATCCCCTTACTAATATATAAGGTTCCTGAGGACAAGGGCTGAGCTCTATTTCAACCTCATATCCAACCCTCACTCTCAACACTTAGCAAAACTACACACAGTAAGGGCAGCCAGGGGGTGCAGTGGATAGAGCACCGGCCCTGAAATCAGGAGGACCTGAGTTTAAATCCGCCCTTGGACCAAACACTTGACACTTACTAGCTGTGTGACCCTAGGCAAGTCACTTAACTCCTATTGTCTGAAAAAAAAAAGACTACACACAGTAGATGATAAATAGCTGTTTTATTCTGGTAGTGTATACTGTTAGCTCAGTCCTGGAGGAAGAGATAGGGAGTGGTGAGATGAGCCCTGATGAATTACCCATATTTCATTGTTTTGTCATCAAATCCCAATAACCCTTCAATTCCATCCATTCTTTTCTATCTCACCTTAAACAGCATCCCAATTGTTCTCCCCTTACTGACCTTCCTACCCTCACATTTCTTTATAAAATTAGATAATATTTCTAAGGTGATTTGCAAACCCTTGAAGCACTATAACATTGCTAGTTGTTATTTGTATCCCCAGGCTTAGCATCGTACCTGGCACACAGTAGATGCTTAATAAATACTTACTGAATGACTGACAGAATAACCCACACCCACTATCCTACATAACAGATTCCCCTAAAACAAAGGTTCTTAACCTTTTTTGTGTCCTAGGCATCTTTGGCCCTTGGGTCAAACCTGCGAACCCCTTCTCAGAACAATGTTTTTAAGTGCATAAAATGAAATACATAGAATTACAAAGGAAATCAATTATATTGGATTACAGTCATCAAAATATTGCTTCCAAGCCAAGTTTACAAACCTCCTAAAATCTATTCATAGACTTCTGGGAGTCTATGGACCCCAGGATAAGAACCCCTTCCCTGTGTGAAATGATCCAACCATTGTGGAGAACAATTTGGAACTATGCCCAAAGGGCTATAAAAATATGCATACCCTTTGACCCAGCAATAGCACTACTAGAACTGTATCCCAAAGAGATCATACAAATGAGAAAAGAAACCACACGTACAAAAATATTCATAGCAGCTCTTTTTGTGGTGGCAAAGAAATGGAAATTGAGAGAATGCCTATCAAATGGGGAATGACTGAGCAAGTTGTGGTATATGAATGTTAACGCAATACTATTGTGCTATAAGAAATGATGAGCAGGCAGACTTCAGAAAAACTTGGAAAGACTTGTATAGTCTGATGCTGAGTGAAGTGAGCAGAACCAGGAGAACGTTGTACATAACAGCTACATTGTGCAATAACTAATGTTGATAGACTTAGCCCTTCTCAGCAATGCAAGGATCTAAGACATCTCCAAAGGTCTCATGATGGAAAATGCTATCCAAATCCAAAGAAAGAACTACGGAGTTTGAATGCAGATCAAAGCATACTATTTGCTACTTTTTCTTCTGTTTTGTTTTGTTTCCTCTTTCTAGTGGTTCCTCCTATTGATTCTAATTCCTCCTTACAACATCACTAATGTGAAAATATGTGTAATAGGAATGTATATATATATATATACATATATATATGTATATGTATGTATATATATGTATATGTATATGTGTGTGTGTGTGTGTGTGTGTGTGTGTGTGTGTGTGTATATAGCCTATATCAGATTGTGCCCTGTCTTGGGAAGGGAAGGAGGGAGGGAGGGGGAGAAAAATTTTAAACTCAAAAGCTTATGAAGTGATTGTTGATAAACCAAAATGAATTAATTTAAAAAAGAATCCTTGCCCTAATTTTTTTAAAAGTCCATGATCCAGCAGTTCTAAGAAACAGAAACCTAAGAAGAGGGATAAACACACAACATCTCCCTCCTTGCTCTGCTGGTGTCAGAATATATGTTTTCACTTCGTATTCATCACACCCATGTTGAACATCAACTCCAGATCATCTACAGAGTCTTCAGATTGGGAATATGATGCCCCAGGACTCACTAGAATAATTCCACTACATCCAAATAGTTGGGGTGGCCAGTAGTACTGTATAGTAAACAGGAATTCTTCAGCTGCGGTGCATAATACTCAAAAAGTAAAATAGGTCTGGGTTTGATTTGTTCTGCTATCTTTGTGTTTTCAAATAGTGAGGAAGTTAGCAAAATTATTATGGCCTGGTGAGGTTGCCATGGTAACAGGAGTGGAGACATTTGTGCTTCCAAGAAGCTGGAACCAGAGGTGTGCTTGGATGGTACATGTGGGTCTAAGAGAACCTGGGTAAATCACAGGCAGAATCTTGAGAAGGAAGGTATGGAGAATTGAATGGGGGGGGGGGACTTCCCTTGACCTGTAGAGAGTTATTCTTTTTCATGCTCCTCCATTTCACCATCTTCAGCCTAAAAACTTTATTTTAAATTAAGGTGTTTTTAGCCACAGATCGGGACCTTACAGCATTTATGCCCTCTGCTAACAGATTAAAAAAAAAAAACTGTGACCCACAAGAGATGAAACTGAGGTCTCGACCAACCCAGTCTTTCCAAACCATGGATGCCTTAAGGGACTTGAGAGCCTGCGAGGATGATAGCATATGTGGAACACATATAAGACTCCATGACCTAGAATTTCTCTCGCATCAAAATTCCAGGAAGAATACAGATAATGAGCTCCAACCTGGGAGCCAAGGATCCCCAAGGGGCCATAGAGTTATTGCAAAAGCGCTAAGCATCTGAGTTTCTTGATCTTTTGTCTAATTCAAACAAGACATGCCACATGATTCAGCACAACAAATAAGTAAATATCCCTTCAGAATACCAAATAAATAATGTGTTGTAATATATGCATTATTATTCTTCAAAGGAAATCATAATCATATTGAATCACATTTAGATAGTGCTTTAAAGCTGGCAAAACACTGTATATACATGATCTCATTGGATCCTGCAAGTGCTATTATTGATCCCATTTTATAGATGAGGAAACTGAGGCTGTGTCATTAAGTGACCTGCCAAAGGTCACACAGGTATCAGAGTACTAGAGGTAGCATTCAAATCCATGACTCCAATACTTTATTCACTATACTATCCTGTTGCAATAAAAAAAAATCACTGAATCTACAGTAACTTTTTTTGCCATTTTGATTTTCTCAATCATGAGGAATTAGCAATATAACTATTATGATGGTGTTAGTGGGATATTTTGACATAAAAAGAGGTTGCTCATATCCTTTGAAAAGGCTGAGAAACAGTGATGTAGATGCCATGAAATGAATGGTGGTAGCATACTAGCCATGGAACCTACAGCATTTTACAATATCATCATCAGTCAGTTAATAAGCATTTACCCCAAAACATTTAGTAAATTCTCAGCTACACACGATATTGCATTTGCTACTATCCAAAGAAAGCTGCCCCAAACAGGTTCTGCCTGTCTGGGCCAACTAGGAAGTAGAGAAGGAGGAAGAGGAAGAGGAAAAGGAGGATTGAATGAATGGATATGGAAGTATTTTTGACTGTGCACAGGTCAGGAAGAAGTACACTTTTTGGGTGGAGGCAGAGTGACTACCTAAATGGGCAGGGAACAGAGAAAGGCATCGCAGGAGTTGTTTCATTCAAGAGACATTCAATTAACTGCCTACTGTGTTCCAGGCATAGAGGCCAAGCACTGGAGATTCAAAGACCAAAATTAATATTCCTTGTAAATGTATAGCCTATATCAGATTGTGCGCCATCTTGGGAAGGGTGGTAGGGAGGAAGGGGGAGAAAAACTTTAAACTCAAAAGCATATGGAAGTGATTACTGAAAATTTTAAAAAATAATAATATTCCTTGGCCCCAGGAAGCTTATAGTTTAACGGGCGGGGTGGGAGGGAGGAGGAGAGACAACATATACATAGATCAAAGAATCAAAGATTTAGAGTCAAAAGAGACTTTAAAGGCCATTTAATCCAACCCTCTTATTTTACAGATGAAGAAACTGAGGCCCAAAGGGGTCACATGATTTCCCAATGTCATACAGCTGGTAAGTTAGATAGTTAAATATCAAAGATGTAGAAAGTAAATGCAGGTTTGACAATGGCCTAATGTGTCTCTCTCCCTAGAACCTCTCCTCGAGAACTCTGGCTTCGTGTAGACTAGATTCAAGCCCGGAGACTAGGCCCAAAGGATCATTATATTTGTTTGACTCTTGCTCCCACCTTAAAGCTTTATTCCAAGAAAATACCTGGAATAAAGTTTGGGCATAGTTTATGTCTGAGTAAATAGGGTTTCCAACTTCCACATAAGCACACAATTTACAGTGTGGGCATAGGGCATGGGACAGCCTTTTTCTTGTCCAAACAGAAAATGCACAAAACACAAAAAACCCATAGGAGCCCATGAACAAATACGTAAAGCACTTAAGTCACTCTGTAGACTAAATATACTTTGGGGCTGCTAGATGAATACCTAGTGAATACCTTCCACCTTCACTATTCAAGTAACTCACAGCAATTTAATGGAAGGTTGGTAAGGTCCATATATCCTGGCTCCCCATGATGTGGCTCTAGTCTTCCAGCTGCAGAGGTCACATCGGTGATCTTACTTCCTCAAGGAGTACTGTTGAGGAAATATTTTCCTTCTTGAAGGTTTAGTGCCCAAATGCTCAAATCAAGGAACTCTATAACTTGGGATTTCTCCAACCCCCAGTTACCCACAAGGTCACCTCCAGGACTGGGAAAATCCATTCTCAGGAACTTTAGTCTCTGACCTGCATTCAGAAAAAGAAAAATAAAAGTAGAGCATGAACTCTCGAAGTCTAGGAATTCTACTTCTCAGATTGGCCATATGCCTTTTCTTCAAGTTGCCCTTTTCTATACCTGATTGGGAAGGAGGTGGGGAGGGGGGAAGGGAAGAGAAATATCTCCTTCCTCTACCACTTCACCTTGCTGTATTCTAGTCTGGAACTCCAAACTTGCTATCTCAGTACATTTTTATATATCATGGGGGGGGAAGATCAACTCTTTTTTTTTTTTGAGGCAATTGGGATTAAGTGACTTTACCCAGGTTCACACAGCTAGTGAGTGTCATGTGTCTGAGACCAGATTTGAACTCAGGTCCTTCTGACTCCAGGGCCGATGCTCTATTCACTGTGACACCTAGCTGCCCCTAGAATCAACTGTTTTAACAAGAGTTCATCCTACAACACTTAGCTGACAGACAACTTAGAGGTAGCCCCAGTCACTGGGAACCCAATCGTAGTGGTTACCTACGCCCACTTGTCTGGGAGCCAGGATGCATGACCACCTGAATAGGAGGTTCCATTTAGGTGAAAGTCCATAGTCTGCGATCTCATCAAGTTGATTAGGAGCTACATTAGTCAACTCCCCCTACACAAAATAATTTGCAGTAACTACTGGGGCCTTCCCAAGAAAAACCTCAGCGTCGGTGTTAGCACTTAATCATGACTATACGTCATCAAGGCAGATTATGAAGGACAAACCAAGATGCTGCTGGAATTAATGGAAAACATTAACTTCGAAGGGAGCTAAGGATTTCCAGGAGGTAGAAGGAGTTACAAACTGAGAAGAGGCACAAGGGGAGAAGCAGGAACATTAAGCATAGGGAACTCCAAGTTGTTCCACTTGGCAGGAATTTCACATCCTGGAAGGGCAAAAAAGAAGGAGGAAAGGGGAGCCAACAGTTCCCCCCTGAGTAATCCAGGAGGCTTTTGTGGAAGAGGTGAGATTTCAAGAGATGGGAGGGAAAGAGGTATGAAGCACAGAATACAAATAGACTGTGTGGTATGGTGGAGAAAACATTGGCATAGAAAGCAAGAGACTTGGGTTCTAGTCTCAACTCTATCACTAACTAGCTCTGACCTTGGGCAAGTCACTTCATTTATTCAGTCAAGAAACATTGGCTAAGGACAGAGCACTATTCTTGGTTCTGAAAAGGTTACAAAGAAGTGGACATAGTCCTTGCCTCATGGAACATATCATATAATAGAGAATAAGGTATAAGAAGTACATACACAACTCCAAGGGAAATATGCTCATGCAATAAGAGGGAGACAAAGTACTTGGGTAGTTGAGAGAAAAAAAAAAGATAATTTTCATTATCTGGCTAGAAGGAGCAAGGAAGCCTTCATAGAAGAGGTGAGCCCTGAACTGGGCCTTGAAATTAAGTCAAGAATTAGACAGGCAGAGCTTGGGAAAGAAGGAAGGACTCAAAGAGGATATTAGGTCTGCCACGAATAACGATGTAAGCAAAAGCAGAGAAGGAGGAGACTATGGGGGCAGAGATGACTGGGGCACCAGCATTTACATGCCTTTTATAGCACAGAAAAAAAATAAACTAAGCATGGAATCTAGTTAGCAAGAAGAATTAGTCAAAATAGAGAGTTACCCAGGACATACTACATGGCAGCAGTCTCTCAGTGTCCTGAGACTCTGGCTTCTGAATGAATGAATAATGGATGAATGGTGAAAAACAAATAAATGAATGAAAAAAAATGAATTAATAGATGAATGAATGAAAAAGCATTTATTAAATGCTTATTGTATGCAAAGCACTGAGGATACAAATAGAAAAGCAGAGACATACTGGTCTCAGAAAGCTCACATTCTAATGGAGAAGACAGCACATATGTGCTCATGGAATAGTGTCCCAGATCCCAGTACCCCCCACCAATTTGCCGCAGGTGCCAAAACTGCTAGTCACCATTCCACCATGAGCATATTCAAGGGGTAGCAAATAGACTATTTTAGTCAGAGTCCATGGTAGGGGAGAGAGAGTTGGGAGGGGGGTACAGTGAAGAGAAGGGGAGAGGAAGAGAAGGAAGAGGGGGAGGGGGAGGAGGAGGAAGAAAAAGAAGAGGAAGAGGAGAAGGAGGAGGAAGAAGAAGAGGAGGTAAAACTGAAAAGTTGTCTGGGGCCAGGTTGCGAAGACCTTGAATGTCAGGCTGACCTGTTTAGACTTTATGTAATAGGTAATGGAGAGTCATTCAAGAATTCTATGAAGGTTTCCATCTCTCAATGCCTCATCTCCCACATCCATAAAAGTTGAATTAGATGGATCTCCAGGTCTCTTCCATCCCTAATGTACCACCTTTCTGTGGATCGATGACTAGTGGGGCTCAGTAGACTGTACCCTCAGATGGGCCATCCTGATCTGGATCCCACTTCCAGGCTCAGACTGTGATTGATTCTAGACAAGAAGAAATCAGTGACTGCGTCTTGGTGGGGAAAGTGATGGAGCTATTGATTTCAAATCCCCTCTACCCCATCCATCCACTTGGATGGCTTCCCAACTCCTCATTTGCTATGAGATGCCTGTCTGTATAAGGCAAAACAGACAGCCCCTAAGTGATATGACTCAAGAGGCATCCAAAGACCTTCCCCAAAGTCCTTCCTCCACCAGCTGGCTATGGTGTCATTAGAAGTACTCACTTGGTTTGTGGCACTGTGTCTCCAGAAGGCTGCTATTAAAGTGCAAATGTGTCACCTAAAACAGGTAATACGCCAGCCAGTTGATTCTCTGCTTGTATTAGCAGAGAACAGGGTTCTGATGGAGAAGAATCTAGGATGGTTAACGTTCGATCAGTTGTCAGAAGAAAGCAAGCCAGGAGGCAGCATGTGGGCGCTGATCACCTGGAAAGGAGAGACCAGAGGAGAAGTGGTAAGAATAAAGACCCAAAGGGACAGCTAGGTGGTGCAATGGCCCTGGAGTCAGGAGGTCCCAAGTTCAAATCTGGCCTCAGATACTTACTAGCTGCGTGACCCTGGGTAAGTCACTTAACCCCAAATGCCTCAAAAAAAGAGAGAATAAAGACCCAAATCACTTACCAGTCAAAAAGCTCTTAAAATCTCCCCTCTTTTGTAAGACTACCTCAAATCTCCCTCCATTAAAACAGGAGAAAATTCATTCACTAAAAAAAAAAACAAAAGTTTTATCATCCTGTAAATATCAATTGATATTTTCTATATCAATTGATATAGAAAAACAGTATGGTAGAGGGGATAGAGAGCTGGCTTCAAATCCAGGAAGACCTGGGTTGAAGGCCTGCCTCTGACATACACTGTCTGTATGACCCTGGGCAGATCGGTTAGCCTCTCATTGCACTAGGCCACTCTCTAAGACCACTAGTTCCAGTCGTCTTGACCTATGTCTCACCACTGGACTCCAATGACTCCGGAGGAGAGAGTGAGGCTGATGATTTTGCACAGCTCTGCCTCATTTAAATCCAATCTACTTGCAAGTCAATCAGGAGGCTGAATCAAGGGAATCAGACCTGGATTCTAGTCCTGACTTAGCCACTGGGTAACGGCAAGCATGACTTGGGCAAATTCCTTCACCCCCTTCCTGGTTCTATTTTCTTATCTGTAAAATGAGGGGGTTGAACTTGTAATATGAGGCAGACTCAAGGCTATTCCACATGTGGATTGGTTGAAGTAACTAGGAGTGTTTAGCCAACAGGAATTCTCTTGAAGTAAAAAGGGCTTCCTGGACAGGTACCAGGCTCCTCCTCACTAAGCATGCATAGCATACATGAAGAACATAGATCATCTTCCTAAATGCATTCATGGTGTTACATAGGATTGCAACAGCTTTTATAGAGTCATCATTGTGGTTTTTTTTCCCCATCTGGTTATGACATGATAATGAATTGTAAATATCCTTTGTAGCATCCAATTTCTATGGAGGAACACAGAGCTCTATGGAGGGTTTTCAGTCAAAGGCCAGGTCTCCACTTGTCAGGGATATTGTCTAAGAAATTCACATGGAGGAACTGGTCCAATTTGATGGTCTTGCAGTCGCTCGAGACTTGGAGAATCTGTGATTCTTTAGGACATTATCACCAAGCTCTGAGATTTAATGAAATTGATCCTGCTTCATCTTTTATGTGGTTCAACCTAATTCAACTCAACTCAACCTAACTGCTGAAGAATCAATGGTATGCTAAGCATGGGAAAGCAAAGAAGACACTGAAACGGCCCCTGCCCCCGAGGACCTTCCATTCTAATTGGGGAGATACAAGGGGAACAAGGGTAAGTAAATGCTAGACAACTGAAGAAGGGAGGGAGACCAAAAAAGGGGAGGGGTAGGAGAAATGAAGAAAACTTTACAGAGAAGGTGGCACCTAAGCTGGGTCTTGAAAGAAAGGGATTCTAAGTAGTGAGGAGCAGAGACAATGCATATTCTAGCATGCAATCTGTGTAAAGACTGATGGAGGATGCATGAGGAGGTTGGAGGGCAGCAAGGAGGCCAATCAGTGTGTGCTCCTGTGACATTGTACAGATTCATGCTATATTTCTGCTACTCCCCATCTGCAAGTGTTCTCACTCCATGCAACAGGAAAGGGTGATCACAAGTGCCAAGATACTTCCCAGAAAACTACCCATCTCCATGCCCCAATCCCACCCCTGTCTGGATGGTGGCTGGGTGAACCTAAGGAGGGTGATCATTGCAGATTTACCCAATTAGATTAGCCTGCCAGCCCCCTTCTCACCTGGACAAATGTTTGCTGCCTGGGTCTGATCATGCCACTGAGCTCTAGACACTTGGGCAGCACCACTAAGCATGCTTGGATTCTAGAACCTATATCCTATATCTTATATTTAAGGCCCTTCCCTTAAAGGTCTGCATTTTGCAGATGATTAAACTGAGACCCAAAGAAATTAAGTGACTTGCCCATGGTCACAAGGGAAGCAAGTGTGTTCCAATCACAGTTTCATATCTAGTACAATGGTCCACTCAAAGTCTGAGTGTTCTGATATGCAATTTATTTAATAAGAATTTTCAGCAAAGTAGCCAGATGAAGGCAGCACGTTGCTGTTCAGTTGTGTCTTCCTCTTTGTAACCCCATCTAGGGTTTGTTTGCTTTTTTTTTTTTAGCAAAAATACTGTCTTGGTTTGCTATTTCCTTCTCCAGCTCATTTTACAGATGAAGAAACTGAGGCAAACTGGATTAAGGGACTTGCCCAGGGTCACACAACTAGTGTGTGTCTGAGGCCAGATTTAAACTCCAGAGGATGAGTTTTCCTGACTAGCACTCTGTCTACTATGTCACCTAGCAGCCTACAAAGAGATAAAACAATCCACAAGGCATGCTGTTGGGTTCTCTGGAACTCCCTAACAGAACACTTAAAATACTTCTTACCTTACTTCTATGGGGCTCAGGTCAATCCACTTCCACAAGTGAAACTGTCCCACAGTTGCTCCACCACTGTCTTGTTTCACAGCAACCCCAGTTGCTGGCATGGGAAAGTAGGGGTTAACTCAACCCCACCATGGTTCCACTGGCTCACAACAAGGTAACTGATACGGGATTTGGATATAGTTCCTAAGTCTCTAAGGGTTCATTTTCCTCCAGCTATGCCATGCTGCTGGCGATACACTCACAGGCATTACAGTCAACAGATGGATTAATCCATCTCAGTAGAGCCCATTTTCAGCTAGACAGTGCAGAGGATAGAATGCCAGGCCTGGAGTCAGGAAGAACTGAGTTCAAATCTGGCCTCAGACATGTACTAGTGTGTGACCCTGGGCAATTCACTTAACCCTGTTTGCCTCAGCTACTTATTTGTAAAAATGAGCTGGAGGAAGAAATGGCCAACCACTCCGGTGTCTTTGCCAAGAAAACCCCAAAATGGGGTCGTGAAGAGTTGGACGTGACTGAACAACAACCAAGAATGTATTTGAGATTTTAAGTTACTAAAGGGCAGGGGTAAAACTTGTGTCAACTCAGTCAATACTGTGCTCAGCAGTACAAGAGAGATCTGGATACATAAAACGCCACCTCAAAGGGATATACCCTCCACTACAGTCCTTCTCCAAGGACTCACAGAGTCATGGAGGTGACCTTGGATTCTGAAAGGTCATTCCAGAGGCGGGAACCCTCAGGGAGATCCTACCCAAGCTTGAGATGATTAGAGTATTGGCCCAATAGTGCAACAGGTATTTGTTGCCCAAGGACCGAACTGGATAAGTGAAGAGGGGTTTAGTTCCCTGTGAAAAAGTGTTTCAGTTGGTCAGAGCAGCTCCTAAAGACCAGTTACTGAAGCTGAGGTCTCTGTACCAGGAGAAGGAATCCCTGTACCATTGAAATCACAGTTAGGTAACTAGACAGGAAAGTGATAGCATGGTGGACTTGGGAGTTTTCAAGACTTGCCTGAGCCACTTACTAAGTGTATGATCTTAGTCTTAACTTAATTTCTCCCAGCCTCAGCTTCCTCATTATCCCTCAAAACAGGAACAAGAGCTCCTACTTCAAAGGATTGTGGTGAAGAATAAATGAGATAACATGTGATGTATTCTGTGAAATTTAAAAACCTGTATAAATTTTAGCAGTTACTACTAGTAGTAGTACTAGGAGTATAATAATATGAATAATAGCAATAGCATCTCTATAACTCCTGCTATGTGCCACTTTACAAATATTATATCATTTGATCCTTGGGAGACATCTCTAGGGTGTGGCGGGGGAGGAGAAAGAAAAAAAGAAATTTACATGATACTTTTGTTGTATATTTGAAAGGAATAGTAAGTTGCGCATAGTAGATTTGCAGCTTCATGCACAATGGTCTTTTTTATTGTACTATGTGATGGAAATGCTTGTTTTATTACATAAACTAAAAATAAAATTTCTAAAAACCAACCCTGGGAAGTAGGTGCTATTGTTATCCCCACATTACAGAAGAAACTAAGGCAGGGAAAAGTTAGGTGATTTGCCCAGGGTCACACAGTTAGTCTAATGTTAGATTTTAACTCAGGTCTTCTTTTTTTTTAGGCCAAGCACTCCATCCATTGCACCACCAGGCTCAATTAAATTACATATTAACTTATAGTGGCCCAAAGTCTCATCTGGAGGCTTCTCTTCCCTTCTCTCTCCTCTCTCTCTCTCCATCTCTCTGTCTCTCTGTCTCTCTCTCTCTCTCTGCCTCTCTCTTTCTCACACACACATACACACACACACACACACACACATGCACATGCACACACACACAAACACACACACACACACACCCTTTTTGTCTCCTTTTCATCCCAGGCTGGATGACCTCCTCCAGACCAGGCTGGACTATTCCAGGAAGCCAGGCCACAGGGCCTTCAGTCCCTTCAGTCCCCTGCTGCTCAACCCACTGTGAGAAAAGTACATGGGCTGCCCCAGACACCACTGAGCATGTGTCTCACTACCTGAAGGGGAATTCAACCTCAGTTCTAGGACTTGGAAAAACCCTGGTGAAAGCTGGTAATGGTCAACTCAGTCCTGAGGCCTTCTTCAAACACCATTTCAAAACATGTTTTATTGATGCTTTCATGTGTCTAAACTGGGGATTCTTAACCTGGGGTCCATGAACTTGTTTTTGTTTTAATTTGAATATTTCAATATTGCTGGCTTTCTTTGTAATCTTTTTATTTTATTTTATGCATTCAAACATTCTTCTGAGAGGGGATAGGCTTCAATGGGCTATGCCAAAGGAATTTACAACACAAAGTTAAAAACCCCTGGGCTGGAGCTAGAAAGGATCTTAGAGGCCACAGAGTCCAAACCAGAATTTAGTCGCACTTACTTTAGTCTCCCTCCAAATAGGACTCT